GATTCAAATCTATCTTACTTCTCTCTTTCTTTCATTCTTTTTTCTATTAGAAATTTGTTTTGTAATCTATTTTATGTAAACTATAAAACAATTAATCATTGATAGGAGTGGATCTCTAATATAAAAAAACTCATCTCTTATATTAATGATTAGGTAAAATGTAATATGTATTTAGAACTTGTTTGGTGGAGTTTTTTAGAACTTTTACTTATTTTGTACTGTTTATAATTAATAAGTTTAAATTTTTATTAGAATGAAATTTAAAAATTACTTTTAAAAATAAAAAAAGGGTAAAAAATTAGTAAAAAGGAAGTTTATTTTTTTGTATTAACCTCTCAGTATTTGGTAACTACATTGGGTCATAACTAATCTGAAATAAGTTGCGTCGGATCCCATTGAGGGAAATTCTCCTAGCGCCTGTTTCTCCATTCACAAAATTCGAATTCAAGATCTTACTTAAGGGAATTAAGCTCCCTCCACTCAGATCAACAGGTCGTTGGCAGTAAAAAAAAAGTTTATAAAAAGTAAAAATTTGAAAATTTTTAAAATTTACTGATAAAAATTTTTTTAAAATTAAAAATAAGTTAAAAAATAAAAATTTTTAAGAGAAAAATTTAAACTTATGAAATATGAATAATATAAAAAAACTAAAACTTATAAAAGCTTTTACTTTTTTTGTCTTGTTTATATTTATGAGTGATAAATTTAAATTTTTATTGGAAAAAAAATTTAAAAATTACTTTTAAAAATAGAAAAAAAGTGAGTAAGAAATGAGAAAAAAAGTTTATAAATAGTACAAATTTAAAATTTTTCAAAATTTATTGTTTAAAGTCTTTTTAAAATTTTAAAAAAATTAAAAAATTTTAAACTTATAAAATATAAATAATATCAAATAAATTAAAAATTTTATAAGTTTCACCAAAGCTGCTTACTATTCTATTACCATTCTATTCTTCTTTTCCTTTGGGTTTTGGGTAGAGAAGTTGGAAAGTGTTGTTTGGCTGCTGCCGTCATGCCAATTGCTCATTTTTTTCAAACTAAGCAACGGAAGGCAGTGGGACAAAGCTGAGTTTGTCTCTTTTCTCTTTTATTGAACAAAGTACTCCTTCCTTCCGCCATCATTAAAGACCAACGTTCCTATTTTCAAAACCCGATGGAGCCAAAATGGATTTTCAAAATCCCCACTTCACATTCTTCTTCTTCTTCTTCTTCTTCTCTCTCACACCTTCTATTACAGGAATTCTCCCTTACCATGAATCACCTCTGCCTCTAAACAACATTCCTGCTTCTCTTTGAACTTGAGCAGGGACTGTGTAATGGCATGTTTTCTGGGCTGTTTCGGGTTTTCTTCGAAAAGAAAGTATCGGAAACCGGCCAATAAAGTTCTACCTGGAGACCATGTAAGCTCATCATCTTCAATATCCATCCAAAAGCAATCAGTATTCACATTACATTCATTCATAGCCTCATACTCATTTACCCTTTTCTTTTTTCTCTTTGTTTTGTTTAATCATTTTTCTTGCAGAAACTTGTTAGCTATGAACCTCTGGATTCCCCTGTATCCAGAAATCCCATCGACTCAAATTCCCAACTCAGGTCAGCACTGATTCATGGTCTCAGTCTCTCAGAATTGTTGCATCTATCTTTTGTGTTTGATTCATTTATGTAATTGCTGTGCAAATGAACTGGTGTTTTGCAGCAGTGATAAGCCTAAGAATCGATCCAGCCTCAGAATTGGGAAAAAGGTGAGTTTTAACTTGAACGTTCAGGCTTATGAGCCAATTCCAGCTGAAGAAACTACCACAGATGAGTTTTTGGAGACTGGTGAGAAAGGATTGAAGCAGGGAGATGAAGCAGAAAAGGGAAAGGCTTCTCATTTCTCTAGGGAGGACTCAAATTCAGTGCAGCGAGGCTCCTATCCTAACAATTATAGATACAAAAATTGCATAGAGAGCTATGATGACGAGGATGAGCTAGCTTATGAGGAAAGTGACGATGACAACGACGATGATGACTATGCTGATGATGACTATGCTGATGATGATGATGTTGGTGATCAAGGAACAAATCAAGAGGAGTTGTTAGATCAGTTTGACTCTCTACCTGAGGAATCTTCCAAAGAAGTAACTTTGAGAAATTTAGATGAGGAGAAAATCAGAAATACAGAGCCACCATGTGAATCAAGAGATGGAGAAAAGAAGTTACTCGGGTCTGGAAATGCTAGGATCAGGAGCCAATACATCTCTTCTGTACTGAATCCAGTAGAAAACATTTCTCAATGGAAAGCAGTCAAAGCAAGAGCAGCACAGTCACCTAAGTACCTGAGGAAGGAGAATGTTGCATTAGATAAAGAAACGCAAATACCCATCAGCTCAAAGCCAAATTCTGATTACTCACCTTTCAACCCAGTGCCAAATTATTACCAGTCAAAGCCTCTACTGCAGGATGTTGCGGTTGATGTTAGCCTTTCAAAGTGGATAGCTTCATCATAAACTAATCGAGTCCATAAGATAGATCAAATTCATGGAGAGGGAGAGAAGATAAAATATCAACAATCCGGAGGTTGCAGAAGGGTCATGTGCTCTGGTTCTACACCATCATTTACACAGTCTCAGCCTCCTGGTCTTAAAAAATAAATACTCTAAAGAAGAAGTGCAGCAACTAATACAGCTGTAAGTTATTTCTCTAATTTCCCCATTTTATGTTTGATGGTGTGCAGAGGTTTGGAGTGTTGTCTTCTGTGTGTCTGTTTCTGATTTCTTTCATTCACTCTGATTGCTTGATAAGGGTTGATAATTTGAGGTGGCCTTGTACTGGAGGGCCTTTTTTGTGCTGCAAGGCCTTGGTTTATTTTGTTTTGACATGCTGCATTGTTTGTTTGTATTACAATCAAACATACCTTGGAGCACCTCAGTTTAAAGAACCTCAACCTATTATGTCAAGTTGCAACTCAAAGGGGAGAAGAATGATTCTCACATTTCCACAGTGCACATTTGTTTAACTACCGTAAGTCCCAAAGCGATTGTACAAGTTTTTGGAACATCAGTATACTTCATAGTATTATAAATCACTAAAGGTGGAGCTTATGCAAATGCAAGCATATCTAAATGCATATCCTGTTACCTGCACGAAAATAAATTCAGCGTTTCGAACTTTAGGTTTCCAAGCAAGCTAAGACATCAGTTTGAAAACAAAGGACAAGATTACTGGCATTTAGGCAACAGTCATCAAGGAGAAAGAAAAGGTGAACGCAATTAAAGTAAACGATTATTCATTGAACTTATAATCATTTTGGATATTTATCTCTCAAATTTCATTCATCTCATACGCATAATACATGGAGTGAAGCAAAAAAAACAGAATTGCATACTTTACAAGCCACATAGAAGCAAGCAGCACACCCCATTTTGCTTTAATGCTCTGGAAAAACATCTGTGCAATTCTCATCAGATATAACAGACCCGCCTACGGTAGCGCATTGAAAGTTGGTTAGATAAATTGCAATATAGGCAGGAGACTGCATGGCTTAGCCTTTGTTTGGTTTGTTGATCCTAATTACAGCAAAGTTGAAGCATGGCTAATTAGCACTCAAGCTGATAGATCCAGGGCGATGGTAGTGCTCCAATCAACTTATACACCAGAGATTTCCTGATTAGTTTTGAGAGTTGCCAATTTATATATGTTACATTATAGTACAGATACAGGAATCTGAATCCTCATCATCAGAATCACTAACATCACTGCAGGCACAAATAAGAACCAGGAAGTGAGCAATATAATAGATGCTAAAAAATATCAACATAATGCAAATCAAGCTGCAAGCTTAAGGTTGATTCTAATGTCCAATTCTTTATTCTCTCTTGAGGTTTGACCTGCTATTTAAAATGTAGCCTGAGATGTTGATCATTAAGGAAGCAGATAATATGTCAAACCAGAGATTCTTTCCCTTCGACTTTTCTGTAAGTTTCTTAGAGGTATCAGCATATCATCTTTCAAGGCCAATTCCATTGGCACACAAGAACATTAATAAATATAGTAAATTCTTAATTTCACAAAGTTTTCCATGCTTTCAAATAGTGATCAGAGTAAGACAAACCTAAATTATACACAAGCTGATCAAAGTATCACATCCTGTCCAAGTACCACAACCCTGGTTAATACTGTGTTACTGACTATTATCCTAATAAAGTAATAATAGACTACCATTTCTGTTAATACTTAAGAGAACAAAGCACAGAACAAAAACAAGTTTTAGCTTAAGAAAGTGTGCTACGATGTTGCTAAGATCATAATACACAAGCTTGCCTACAAAAACCAGATCCTAAGTTCAAATATATAAGCACAATGACACAAAATTACTGGGCAATGAGAAACCACTGTTCCATTAAACAACTATCCTCAAAAACTATATCAGATTCAAAATAAAAGATTCATATATAAAAAAATTGTTGCTACAAGTAAACTTCCATAACCATACATTTAAATCACACCACTTTAAAGCTTACCCATTTTAAGTTTTGTTTTATATTCATTTGTTGTGAGCTTAAAATGATTAGTTAGCTAGATTAGTAAACTCTTTGTCCATTCACTAAGAGAAATACATTTAACCACGCTGATCAGAATTAACCAGTCATAAAACAACAAACCTAACCAAAAAGAATGCACCCAGAAACCAAAAAGAAAGGAGAAAGAAACAAATCCTCAAAAACTAAACAGCAAAAATCACAAAAGATGCATAAGCATAAGCAGCTAAAATAAAAAAAAGTAGATAAATGAACTACCTTGGTTCATATTCCACAACCTCTACAAGTTTATTCCCATTGCTATCATTCCACTGCACTTTTCGCCGTGTCTTATCTAACTTTCTTGACATCCCACCTTTCTTGGGTGGCAACAAAGAATTTGACTCACTTTCCTCCTCCCCATCAGTATGATCTTCCCCTTTTGGAGATTCAACTGTGTCTAAAGGCTTGTTTTTGTATCCATTAGCATCCCTAACATCCTTATGCACCTTATCCATTGAAATCACACCAACCCACGGATACAGGACCCCTGGAAACCTAAATGTACAAATCAAAAACGGACAAAAGACTGCCTGGAAGATGGATAACTGGTAAAAGAGCGCATTGATTCTTCACAGCTCACCGTAGGACTATTTTCTCAGCTCGGAGACAAACAATTCGAAAACGCCAACTCTCAAATTTCAAACTTTATGACCCCTACAATATATAACATCTGAATCTGATCAAACCCTCCATTGTCCTAGACAGTAGGAAATCAATAACAGACAAACCCTAACACAAAAAATAAAAAATAAAAAAAATCAACCTTTGGATCCTCATGGCAAACCATGACCTGACAAATCCAACCCCCAAAAGTCAACAGACATTACCAATACGATCAAACCACCGAAATGCAATTCAAAGATCAATCAGAAAGCCGGTAACGTTGAAAGAAACAGATTTCCTGGAGCATTCAGGAAGATGACTACTCCGGAAGCAAAGATTTGAGTAGAGAGGAAGAAACTCGGAGATGGATTTTTGAAATGCTATTAATTATACAAAAAGGGGAGAAAAGTGTCCATTTAGAGAAAGTTACGGTATTGGATTACAGAAACCCTTATATTTTCGAGAAAATTAGGAGGAGAAAGGAAGAAGATGAAATAAAATATCAGAGAAAAAGGCGAGGCGAAGGCGAAGGCGAAGAAGTGAGCTTATCAGAGATGGACGGTTGAGATTAGATTGGAGTTTAGAGGCGGGGTTAAGTGGGGTCCAGGAGAGGCGGCTGTATAGTGTACGTTCGTTAATTTTCTTAAAAGTTGTATAGTGACGTGGGAGGTTGTTACTCTCTATCACAATAATAATGATAATAATAATAAATATAATAAAATAATAATAATAATTTTTTTAATAATTTTAATAAATTTTATCTATTCAAAAAATAAAATAAATAAATATTTTTATTTAAGATTTAGTCAAAATAATAACAATTATTTTTAAATTTTCTGTAAAGGAGGTAAATATATTATTTTTATTATAATTTCATTATTATTTTTAAGTTTTAATTATATATTTTATTAAAAAATAAATTTTTAATTTTTTTAAAGAATAAAATAAACAAAAATAAAAATTATATTTAAATTCTTAATCTCAAAATAAAAGTAAAAAATATTTATTATTTTGAGAGGGATGAGATAATATTAATTAGTTGAGGTTAATTATTTATTTAATAATTACAAAAATGACTCAATTCTAAACAAAAATATAAGACTGCCATAGTATTTTGATTTGATCCAAGAAAATTTTACAAAATTTCCAAATAGAATTTTATTATAGTTTGAAGAGTATAGTGTTGATCAAGGGATGGGAAAATATTTTTAAATTAAATTATTTTATTGAAAGTTTATTTAAAATAATTAAAATAATTTATTTTTAAAGTATAAATAAAATTAATTTAATTTTTTTCAAGTTATTTTAATAAAATAACATAATTTTAAGATTTTTTTATTTTTAAAAAATTTAATTACTAAACACTAATATTTAGTTTCAAATTTTAATCTTGACTCCAAATAAAAATTTGTGATTATTGAATATGATACTTGACCAAGCTATAATGATAGAAAGGAGTGAAATCCTTTTTTTTTATGGTTCAAGCTTAATCACTTTAAATTTAGGCTCAATAAAGTTTAAAGTTAATTTTCTTTATAGTTTCATAATCAAGAAATATGTTATTACATGAAATTAATTGGGAAAATTTTTTGAATGGTGCGTGGAATAGATTTTTTTTTATTATTTAATGAAGATTCAATTTTATATCTTTTATAAATAAAAATACTCTAATAGAATTCATTACAATATATCAAGAATTTTTATAATTTTTATAATTTTTATAATATCTTTTTATGGTATAATACTTAAAATATTAAATTTATCGATTAATATTAATTAAATAAATTACTATAAAATTAAAAAATTAAAATTAAAAACTCTCTCTCTCCATTTTTCTCGGTGCATTATTCATTATTAGAGATGAATAATTTTGTATTCAATTTTAAATTACTTGACGTTGAAATTTTTTTAGTTTGATTAATACAATTAAAAATTTAGTTAATTGAAATATTTTACTTTAGTTCACGTACAATTAAATATTAGAATTTTGTTTACTTAAAAAGATTAAAAGAATTTAATTAATTGCATGAATTGTATTAAGAAAACAATTCAAAATTTTAGTAATTAAAATTGAAATTTTGAATTATGTTTAGGTATTAAAATAAAATTTATTAATCAAAATATAAAAGAAATGAGAGAGAGAGTTTTTCTGCTTGTTATTTTTTAATTTTAATATCTATTTAATCAAAATAAATAAGTACTTAATCTTTTAATTACTCATAAAAAAGGATATTTGGGACCTTTCAAAAAACTCTAATATACTTGTGAAGAATTTAATTAAAAGTACTTTCACTTATATGAAACTTAAAATTTAATTTTCACTTAATTCAAAAGAAATATTTAATATACTCACTTTAAAAGAATTTTTCCCAATTAATTTAGTTTCAAGTTAATTTTCTCCATATAGAGTTTTTATCTTAAGTAATGATAGGGGGAACGAAATCAGGAGGTGAATTTGAAAGATAACAAGTGATGAGAGGGGTCAAATTAATAATTACACCACATTCATGAATCCCCCATCACTTGTCATCCCCCAAATTCACCTCTCAATTTCGTTCCACCCATCATTACTCTTTCATCTTTCCTCACCCCAGACCTTTTTTTTTTTTGGTGAAACAATGTTTTGTTTTGTAATTTGATATGGCACACTAATTATCTTGTGATGTGAGCTTAATGTTGTGGTGTGTATGATATGCAAGGTTAGATATAATGATAGGAGCAAAGATATATTTCCATGTAATGATGTTAAAATTGGGGTCGTGATTCATTGTAACCATCTGGAGTGGTTGATATGTCTATGAATGAATGGGATGTCGGATGTCGTCTTCCTCAGGGGCTCACCAGCACAACCTTCCAAAAGCCATGAACAATATTTATTTCGTGTAAAAATATTTAAAATTGTGATGCATCATGTATAATTAACAACTGTGCAATTCGAGTTATCAAATCGATGACATTATAATTAATATGTTATACAAAATTACAATTTTATAATATTAAATTTAATTTTTTAAAAAAATTTAATTATATAATGACATAATATAATTATAAATTTATAATAATATTCGTAGTAAAATACCCTTACTACAAGCTATATCATATTACTATACGGGCATTAATTTCTTTAGAGTGTGTTTAATATAAATGAATTCCGTAAAATGTTTGTTATGTTTAGTATGATTAAAAA